GAGAAACTGCTATGTTTATGTTAGGGTTAATCCAGCCTCTAGCGGCTGTCTCCTTGACAGCCGCTAGAGGACCTCCGCGTTTCTCACTGTGAAAATCACAGTGAGAAGATGCCAGCGTCCATAGGAAAGCATTGTGAATGCTTTCCTATGGACTGGCTGAATGCGCAAGCGGCTCCTGCCGTGCATGCGCATTCACCCATAGAGGAGGAGGAGAGCTCCCCGCCTGGCGCTGGAGAAAGAGTTAAGTTTAACCTCTTCCTCTCCATCCAGCCCAGCGGGAGGGGAACCCTGAGGGTGAGGGCACCCTCAGGGCACTATAGTGCCAGGAAAACGGGTATGTTTTCCTGGCACTATAGTGGTCCTTTAACCCTGCCGACCTAACTAGTCTGAAGCAAGCATATCCCTTTACTTTCCAACCCATAAGCATCCACTATCTGGGCACACACCTCCCAGCTGATCTCTCCCAGACATACCGACTCAACTATACACCCTTACTCCAGAAAGCCATGCAAGACCTACTTACATGGACTGGACTATTAATCTCCTGACTTCAGAAATTGGTCTCGATAAAAATAAACATGCTACAGAGATTTCTATACTTATTTCAGGCCCTTCCCATTGCCATCTCGGTATCAGATTTCAAAACCCTTCAAACACAATTTGACAGATTTATTTGGGCCAACAAATGCTCTAGGGTTTAACGAGCAACCCTTTATGTTTCAAATAAAAGTTATAAAAGGTTTTAGATTACCACACCTCACGCACTACTTTCACGCAGCGCAGCTAGCACAAATACAGAGCCTACTTGCTTGCTTTAGCCCGATAGGGATTAAACGGTGGGTCGATCTGGAACATGACATCTTGGGCTTCCCCTCAATATACATTTGGTTTCCCAAACAGGCACGTCCCCTGTTACCTCCTACCTTTCCTGCCCTGCTCCTGTCCATAAAAATTTGGGACAAGATGGTACTCAAGTGCTCTCTTACTTCAGACCCCTCCCAATGACTGTGATACTCCGCAACTACAATTTGCTCCGGGTATGACAGCGGTGGATTTCGTCCACTTTGAACACAATGACCTAGTTAGACTCCAGTTCTTTCGCAATCAATAAGTCATTGCATTTGCTGATTTATCAAGAAACACACCTCTACCTTCAATTATTTCAGGTATATCCAAATTAAATGTTTTCTGAGCACACCCATGTACGAAAAAGCAGGCTTGACTCCCCTCACCAACTTCAAAAAACATGCTTGCAAAACCCCATTCAAAATGGCCAAATATCCACCATTGTACTCTCATAGCACCCAGACTTACAAGGACGAATCTTTGTCCTAAACAATGGCGTGGGAGAGGGATCTGGAACCTCCAGAAAACCCATCAGGGAGGGAGATTTGGGAAGCCACGACCACAATTTCCATCTGTGTTGGCCACAAAGAAAAGCATATAAAACTCTAATAAGATGATACGTAACACCCCTTCTGTTAAAACAGTTGGGTAAATCAGAGACTGACCTTTGCTGGAAGGGCTGCGGGAACAAAGGCATTTATCTTCACTTGTGGTGGAATTGCACACAAATCGTGCAACTGTAGCTCCAAGTTTCTCATTTAGTATCTAGAATATTGCACATTGATATCCCGCTAAACCCAATGATTTGGCTCCTCTCCAAACCTTATAAAGACACTCCAAGAGCACAACATAAATGAATTGCTCAGATAGCCCTGGCCGCTAGATGCTCAATGGCTGAGAAATGGGGCTGCCCTGACATCCCTTCCCTAGACATGATCAAAAGGAAAGAGGAGGAATCTAGAAAAATGGATTACCTCTCAACACTGCTCCATGACACCCACAAAACATTACAACAAAATCTGAGACCCTTGGATTTTCTAATTCCCGCTGTAAGGGGACCTGGCCCTGGTAACAGGTGTAGGTTTAACCCTCCCAACCCTCCACTTCTCCTTCTATACGACCCCACCTTCCTCTACTATCCTCTCCTTAGCCCAATCCACCTCTCAGTTTTCTTCTTAACCTTAATTTGAAAACAAAAAAAATTCTCTCTCTCTCTTAATTTCTTTCCTCTAGTTACCCTTATCTCCCACACCAACTTAGCGGATGACTACCCCTATGGTCTGCAATCTCAAAGGTACACTCTACCATACCAATTATGTATTTCACTTATATAATTACCAGTTGAAGACATTTGGAATCAAAGATTTAATGACAATATCCAGCATTAGCTTGTCAAATGTTTATGTTAAAAAGTTATTATAATACAATGTTTTCAAAAGAAAAAAACATGTGTCAATATACATTATAACAAATATTAACTGGGGAAAATGAACAGTATATTTATGTGGTTTTAAAAAGAGAAATATATATTTAAATATTCAGCAAAACCTAGCGAACCTTGACTTCATCTCACCAAGCGAATAACACCACCACACTTAAGCACTTTGACATGACCCGATATGACACACAACACTACTTTCTGCACAGTATACGGCAAATGACACAAAAATCTTTACTACCATCCTGAACAAGATTCCAACAAGCCTCACCACTTATCTGATTTGCTATTAGTATAAATACCTTTTGCGTGTGTAACAAAAGATACAATACCATCTCTCTCACAACCTATCTGTCATTAGTGATGCCTTCAACATGGATGCTGTCCAGGAGGTGGGAAGGTCTGGGAGGGAGGGTCTGCTGGATATTGGCCGGTATGTGTCAGCTGACCGGAGCTCGCCGCAAACGGTTCGTGGCGAACCGTGGCGAGCCGTTCGCGGGAAGTTCGCGAACGGTTCGCGACATCACTATCTGTCATATGCGATATCAACATGTAGGGTTACACAATGTTTTATCTATGACTTTATACCTATCAAAGACCGTGATATCTCTGTTCATTGTCATGTTGCATCGTTTTTTTTGTACCTATAATTTCTGTATCAAACCAATGTATGCAAAGTTTATATACCGTGATGTTTTCTGTTGCAAAAAAGGCAAACACATCTGCTGGTATGGGAATTCCATGGTGCAGTGGTCCAATCCTTAAATGAAATCTAGCTGGGAAAAAAAAATTGTATAACAGGCTTAGCCAGTGAAGTAAACAGGGTTCCCCAGTACAAGAAGCATTACAATACAGTCGTCAGTACAAATCCATACGAATTAGGTAATATAGGAAAACCATAAGATAGTAATAACTAACTAAATCAGTAACATAAAACATTGCATGTGTTCAAGAATTCCCAAACATCACAATACAGGAAAAGAATAAACAGCCCCAAATCAAAGATGAAAAGAAACACAAGGGAAAGGATTGGAAAATATCCTGTCATTATTAAAATTAAGATTACACTAAAGCTATCTTCAATTGTATAATTTTACATCATGACAGGAGGCTTCATATTTTGCACTTTTAACGTTGAACGAGAATGACATGGCGACATGGACAGAATAAACCCAAAAGGAAGAGTCAATACCTGCCACTGGAAAGTGTAGTCACTGAAACTGGCTTGTAAGAGCTACCATAAGAAATAAGTAACTAAACAGAAGAGACAACCTGCAGAGGCAAAGAAACCTCCACATATCAACGTAATGCTGAAACTATGCAAAGTTGAGGACAGGACTTAAAAAACAGGTAAAAAAAAAAAACAGTGCTATCAGATTTCATACATCTAGATATCCAAAAATGTACTCCCTCTGAGGAAAAAGAATAAGCATTCAAATCGAAGGCTTGAACAAAACTCAACAAAACAACACCAAACATGAACGTTGTTTCTTTGGATCACCAATGAAACTGACATAGCAAAAGATTCTTGTTGACCGGACGATCATGTCAAAAATGCAGAATGACTGAAATGCTCCAGAGATGAGCATACTTGGGCCCAAGTATGGGGCTTTGTAAACCAAATGCCCCTCAGGATATGACAAACGAGAGGATACTGGCAGACCCTGCACTGGAACATGGGCTGCCTATATGGCAGATTGCATCACATTGATGGACCAATGCAAACATCTTGCAGTAAAAAGGCCTGACAAAAAAATCAGGATGGTGGAGATAGGAAAGATTTATCCACTTTTCTAACTTTGCATCATAATTGCATTTTTTCCTTCTAGCAACACAAGTATCTGATCTTTAGTCCTCTTTCCAAGGACTATCGAGTTTAGTCTGAAAAGCAGCACTGTTTTCTGGATCACAAAAGAAATTGACAGTCATAATACTATATACATTAGCATATTTTACTGCAATATTTTGGTTGATAATTGGTAATATAAATTGTGAAATTTAGTATTTTACATCTTTTTTTTAAGTTTTCGTAATGTCTCATGGTACATTCCTTCCTTGACTTCCACAAAACCTATAATTATTCAGTATGTAGATATATTGGTCATTAAATTAATCTTGTCTCATGGAAATTCCTATTACGACATCTACAATAGTATTTGAGTGCTTTTAATATGCCTCTAATAGTGCTTTGGAGAAAATCTATCAGGTAAGAAATGTAACTGGACTCTGCCCAGCTAATCGTGCCTTAAGGACCAAACTTCTGGAATAAAACGGAATCATGACATGTCACACATGTCATGTGTCCTTAAGGGGTTAAATAGACTACTAGAGTTTTTACTTGTGAACTGACCCTTTTTGAAATCCTGTTATTATTGGAACCTTAATTTAATCCAATAAGCAAACATTTGTTTTCTTTGCGCCATAATTTATATGCTTATTCTTCACATTGATCCTTTAGCATGTATTTATTAGGTTGCGTGCAAGAAATGTGTTGACGTGGTAAGTGTTAATGTAAAATTTGTGATTGCCTCATGTTCGCCTTGATGCACTGTATCAGAACTTAATCATCGCTGACATATTTATTCATTCTTTGTCCTTGCTCCTTTCTGGCCTCTAGTGAATGATGTGTGCTCTTATCTGTGTTTTTACAGCAGAGCATCCTTCAGACAAGAGGATTTAAACAGAATTCTGGATTCTGACCAGTTTTAAGAGATACCATACACTCAGAGCTCACACATCCAGATCACCAAAGCTCGAATATCGAGACCGACAGAGCTCAGACATCCAGATCAGCAAAGCTTGAATATCCAGACCGACAGAGCTCAAATATCTAGATCAGCAGAGCTTCAACATCCAGACCAGCATAAGCCATTGGCAATACACAAGGCACTCATGTCTAGACAATCCTAAGGCAAGAGATATATACTTTAAGAAGACCAGAAAAAATTGGCCAGCTGGATATATTTTATACAGAAAGAGATCAAGGAACTTTTTTCAAAGAAAACATCCAGAGACCCGAAATATAGTTAGGGCTCTGAAATTCTTACTGTTTAAAGACAACAGGTATACACAGTGCTTGGAACATCTGAAAATACCCAGCATACAGAGAATTGAAAGCATCAGGTACAGAGATATTGAGCAGCCAAAAACCACAGATACAAACAGATCTACTCCAAGTCATGCTACCTGCAACCTCCAAATTGTGCGCTGCTATATCGTACAGACACCTTCGCAACATGACAGGTAAAGCACAGAGAAGCGGGATTGTGTCTTATGTGAATGGTAGTAACTGGGGGATTATAGGCTTAGCATTATAAATAACTATTCTCAGGAATCATATTTTAAGAATATAGAAATCCAGTTAATATTCACCAATAATAGACTGGAATACACTTCGAGATACTGTTATTTGAATTACACTTCATGTAGATAATGGTGGCTGATGTCTCCTGCAAGATGCAAGACTCATTGGAATGCTGGCACTGGACGGTGTGGCTGGAATTAAGCATGAATGTTATAATGAGCAATGTGTGTGTACCGTTAATACCAGTTGTTATTTATGTATTTATGTATTTAAAGTTTTACCAGGAAAAGTGAATTGAGGTTTCTCTTGTGTTCATGTATTGCATGGATCTTAAATTCTGGCCCCTAGGATGTTGATACCCGACAATTTCAAAATTATTTGAATGCAGTTGATGGCGAGAGTTGTAGTTTGTCATCATCAGGTGTACCAATGTTTGAGATGTCTAATGTAAGGTATGTTACGGAGACATCTCTACATGTAAATTGTAGCCATGATTTGAGGCTTGTGATGTAGCCTATAAAGGAATCCTACTTGAATCTTAGGAACCACTTGGATTCTTGAGTTGAAAGTGTCTTCTGATTGGTATTGAAAGCCTCTTAAATTAGTGTTGAAAACCAATGCCATTAACTGCTTATTGTAAAAAACATATGGGGCAATTATGTCCCATTCTGTATAATGTTATTTCCAATACCTGTCCATGTCATGTGGACAGATTTGAGTCAATATGTCTGATTTTGGACTTTTACAAGAGGCTGTTAGGAAGAAGACTTCATAATCCAAAGGGCCAGTCGTAATCTTATAAAATGGAAGTCACATGTAGGCTTTATATCCTACAACTGATTTGAAACACCAACTTTAGAATGTAGAATGTAGTGATAACATTTCTTCGTATGAGGTTTAGTTAACTAACAGATGAAGATTCTGTCTTGGAATATATTATTTATGATTTCAACTTCATACAAGAACTCAAGTTACTCTTTATAACAAAAGGATTTTTTCCCCCTAATTTCCAAATTCTATGTTTCTCTGCTCTTCCTCTGTTCTTCTTGTTTATGTTTCTGGACCCAGTGGAAAATATTCATGGTCTTTTCAAATGCTTTTTTTTTCTTTTGGACTTTAATACTTCCTCTGCAAGGCTATTCTAGCTACAAAATGTTTGTTTTTTGGACTGGCAATGCTTAGAAAGTGATATCTGTTGATATATGTTAAAAACAAAGAAACAACCAAAAAGAAATAGCTCATTATATTAAAATATTGCTGGAACATTTCAGCTGATGGAGACACAACATGTCTGCATGTATAGCCCTGGTAGATAATCTCACTCATTTACATGAAATAAAAGAAAATGAATGCATCAATAAGATTTGATTTTGTGTACTTTTTACTTTAACTGACCTGAAAGAATCACAGAGCTTCACTGCATTAAAGCTCACAGCTCTGTGTGGTGAGCATTAATTATGCTCACACAAATGTGAGTTCATGAAAGAATGTGAATAAACATTGATGGTTCAATTTTTTTTTCATTAGTAGGTCATTCCACTCAGTTGCTCAGCATACATTTGACTTAAGTTAATATAATATGTTTATGTTTATATATGTCTCTAATTTACAGAAACTCCTGTAGGAACAATGTCTATCTATCCCTAATAAATCAAAATTGAAACTTATTTATTAGCATTAACCATTGAATGTAGACTAAAGGTGTTTAGGGAAAATGTAGTGGTCATGGTAAAGTGTAACATTAGATCATTAAGAGGTTAAACAATATTACAGACAAAAAAAAGTGAAATAAGTTCTCTTCCACAAGTAGTATCTTCAAAAATATATATTTTTTTGTTTACTTTTTAGGCCTTAGAAGAACTGCAGCAGTAGTACTGTCACACGAGCTGGAGAAACTGGCATTAGTAGCACCGGGGCCCAGCAAATGGATTAATCATGTTAGACGAAGAAGCTCTCTACTAAGTAAGTTTTGATGGAACCAATCATTTTATATGCTAAGAATAATTGACCTCTCATAATTGTCTTTAACTGGGTGAATGTTAAACTGGCATTTCTAAATTGCTAATATTGACAAACCACTGACTCTTTTAGGTTCCAGACTTGAGGAGAAGCTCTACAATGACACTGAGATGTCTTACATCACTCAAGGTGAAGAGGCCATAAAGAAATCTATGAGTATCCTTGGAGACCAGGATGGATGGAAGCTTGAGATTGTGGCGGTATAAATATATATTTTTTTATTCTGCAATCACATACTTATTAGCACTAAGTTAGGTATTTTTGTACTATATCAATTCTTTTTAACTACTGATAAAAAGGTTTCTTGATTCTTACTCATTCTTCTTGTCTTGTATCGAAGATGTTTAACGGGCTGCATAAGCTTTAAATATATTCTAAAATATGTATCTTAAGTGTTTTTTTATTGTTTGGATTATATAGAACCTCAGCAAACATCATGGATGTTCTGTACAGTAATCTCGAAGGTGTGTTTTGTGCCATAAATTCAACATGTTCCCTTTCTCAATCCTGCAGGGAAATGGAGATAAAGTTCTCAGTAAAGTTTTGCCCGATATCGGTAAGGTCTTCAAGCTGGAGGCTGTTCTTGAACAACCATTAGACAATGTTTATGGAGAACTGGTGGATAATATGGAGAAAATGGGAGAGTGGAACCCCAATGTGAAAGAAGTTAAAGTAAGCAGCATGTGGATCTATATAATGTATATTAGTGCGGTACTTGTATTTGGATTTGTCATTTTCTTTGTGTCACTAAAGTATCTGATTTGATTTACCATCAGCTATATTTATTATTTTACTGTAACACTATAACAGTGATTGCAGTGAGTTTATTCATTACATAGTGGGGTGCAATTTGAAACCCTGATCTACAAAATGCATGTGAAAATTGCTGGTTTTGAACAAAAAAAAATTCGAATTTTTTTTTATTCCTAGGTTTACTATAATGGTGTGAAATATGCTTTTTTTAAATATATTTTTGGAGTATTTATGATGTTTACATTTAAATAATTAAAAAAAAACTCTGGTCATTTGTAACCCTGATAGAAGATCATACAGCTAATCTGTCTTTAGAAAGTATGCGTTCTATATAATGCTCTGCTCAATCCAAGATCTCCTTTCCCAAACACCATTCTTTATCATTATAACCTTGATGTCTCCAGGGTCCAGTGCAGGATGATATGTTAATAGTGCATGGGCTAAATTAATGTGGACATAAACTATTTCTCCTCCATTTAGTTATATACAGATAATATGTTTAGTAGGTTCCATATTTGTAATGGACCTTCAATATGGAATGTACGATGTTTTTAAAGGGAAATAATCTCCTTTCTACTCACACAAAGTGCATGTAATATATGTATTAATAGGGAGCAACTGACTTTCAACTAAGGTAGATGCAACTTATATATAGCCAAACAACAACATAAATAGACAGAGCAGGGAAAATAAATTAATTGACATGGTCCCTTTCTTAACTTGTTGTAAGTGATGTTATTGTTTGATGTGTCTGTATCTCTCAGTACATATCACCATTAATACATTTTGATCATAATGGCCATTATTGTGATAAACACAGGACAAGTGTAGTAAACAATGTATGCTCGTACTTTGAGTTGTTTGCGTAAAAGGTGTTTTAAAGCTTAGAGATTTTGAAATCCTGTATATATTTATGCATTTTATTTTATGCCTTATCTTGCTTAAAGAGGGGGACTATTAGGAATGGCAGTTAAATACATTAAACAGGAGTCGTATTCCATTTCGAAAACAGAAATGTAGACAATATTATTATAATCAACCATCATTGGTCCTCATAGGGTTAGTCAGGATTAACTGAGTTCACTTGTACCTTGTGCTATATGGTGTTCACGTTCATGTATTTGTGTCCTGCAGACATTTAGAGACATAGAAGTTAGAACTAGTTTATAGCTGAGATATTGAAAATTTACCATGCCTGTACTTGAGAAACATTGTTTTTTAAAATGAAGGATTATAATAGTATTGCCAAGATTGTAAATGAGAAATGGTGATATATTATCTAGTTTGTAGCTAAGACACAGACCTGTCATTAGGTGTGAAGATATGTTGATGCTGCACATAATATTTAAATAGTACAAAGTATATTTATGGATTGGTTTGTATTTACTACCATGAAGTCTTTAGAATTAACTGAAATTAAAAAATATTTTAAAAATTTCCAGCTTGGGCCTATTGGCCAAAACTGAGATTCCATAGTCACTTTCTCAATATGGTTTTCTGATGTACAATTCTGAAAGAACAATTAACATTGCTAATGATTATAGTGATTAATTTGGATGGTATTTCTGTGAACCTTACAGATCCTCCAGAAGATTGGAAAAGATACAGTGATAACACATGAGAAGGCAGCAGAGGCAGCAGGAAATATTGTAGGACCACGTGACTTCGTGAGTGTAAGATGCAACAAAAGGAGAGGGTCAACCTGTATCCTCGCAGGGATGTCGACGCGATTCGGAGAAATGCCAGAACAGAAGGGCTACATTAGGTATGCTCATTACATTCATATGCTGCAACATTTTTTAAATCAAGAAATAGAATTGATAGTGAAATGGTTGGAGAATGCCTGTAATCCTCTGTTGTTGAGTAGACCAGAATTTCTTTTTTTATCAAGAAATATAATTGATGGTGAAATGGTTGGAGAATGCCTCTCTTGCTAAATAGACCAGATCACCTGCGGTCTGTAAATAAAGCTCTACCTCGCATTATAAGATATTCTACTGTATAGCCATTCACCATTTCAATAAACTCCCCCTTGATTATAAGCCATTGAACATCTTCTAATTAAGTGAGCATTTAAGGCACTTATGCTCAGGCTTTGAGCTCATACATGGTATATTCTTGAGCAATGTTCTTCAACCCTGCCATGCTAGAATTTAATTATATCATTGCTTTGGCACAGCTGAATTATCCCAAATTATACTGATAGGACCTCGGGTAAATATTTAGGGAGCAGCAGTCCTCAAACTGCTTATCAAGTCTGAGCAGAGAGTTGAACAGTGGTCCACAAGTAGGCGATTACATCACAATGTTCTGTATGAGTGAGGACTATGGATGCAATATGGACTGTTGGTGGTTGTTGAGGCTGGTTTGAGTTTTATTATGTGATAATGATGAATTATTTGTGTATTATCTTAGAGCAGAGAATGGCCCAACATGTATGGTTCTACATCCTTTAAATGAAGATCACACAAAGACAAAACTAACCTGGCTTCTCAGTGTTGACTTGAAGGTATGTATCAAACAGATAAATTATGTTCATATACAAGAATAAATATATATCTTAAAATGTCATATTTAGGATGAGGGGTAATAACAATAAAGCACACAAATGTAAAATATGTCAATGGCAAAATAGTAGATTAATTTTTTACAGACATAGACATGGATTATAATTTAGTGAACTAAAGTATTTAAGCATAAATAGCCAACCTTGAAACATTCTCGAACAGAATTTAGTGAATAATTTACTCTGTTATTAATTATAAAGAAATGCTGAAGAAAAAAAGGGAGAGGTGCATGACAGTCTAGGCATAATAGAAGTTGTTTTTTTTTTGTTTGTTTGTTTGTTTGTTTTTTTTAACAAGGATTGAACCCTAGTGTATTTAGACATTGATCACAACAGGACCAAAGACCACTCTTACATGTTATAGTTGATATCTAGGCATTTTATACAATGACTGGATTTCCTTGTTGCCTGTCACATGCTCTAAATGTGTGCTCTGTGACGACAATACAGTACAACACAATTTCATAAAATTGCGTCTGTAGTGCCACCTGCTGCCTGTAAATGTAACACTAGTTGTGTATTTCATGTAGCATATGGGTAAATGGATTGCTTACTATGGAATCTGCTGGGACCTGGATAGAATTCAGACGATTAAAGGGACACTCCAGGCACCCAGACCACTTCTGCCCTTTGGAGTGGTCTGGGTGCCAACTCCCATCACCCTTAACCCTGCAAGTGTTATTATTGCAGTTTTTATAAACTGCAATAATTACCTTGCAGGGTTAAGTCCTCCTCTTAGAACACGAAAAGTGTTTTAAACGACACTGGACGTCCTCAAGCTATGCATGAGTACCTCCAGCGTTGCCGGAATCCCCATAGGAAAGCATTGAGTAATGCTTTCCTATGGGGAGGTCTAATGCCATTGCCGCGCATGCGCATTAGGTCTCCCCCGGCGATGTCTCAGGGGCGTAGCCTGACCCAGCGCCCAGGGACATCAGCACTGGATTCAGATAAGGCACTAAAGGGGTTTTACCCATTCAGCAATATGGGATCGATGGAGGGAGAGGGGCACTGCAGGGTTCTGCGGTGCCAGGAAAATGGATATGTTTCCCTGGCACTGGAGAGTCCCTTTAATCTATATATATATACATATATATATATATATATATATATATATATATATACACACACACATACATTTAAATATAATTTTGCCGACTATCATTTGTAAGATCTTTCGGTCCATGAAATTCAGTGTTAATGAAGCAGGATTAATTCCTAGTGCATTAATCCAGGGATTAACAAATTTGCCTTCACTTAGCGCTGACAGATGGGAAGATTAGAAAATTAAGCGTGACTTAGGGAACCAAGAAGTACACATTCAATCCTAATCAGTTTATTGATATATAATATTTCACTCCTCTTCTTTGTTCTAGGGATGGCTGCCAAAGTCCATTATCAACCAGGTATTGTCTCAGACGCAAGTGGACTTTGCAAAACATCTCCGCACCAGAGTAACAGCAACTCACCCCACTCTGTCTCAGAGCTAATTCTGATTTATTCTATTAATAGTTGGGCTCTTCACTAAGAGTAGCCAGTGTCTCTCCAAAATTATTTCATGACAAAGTACTTTTTTCTCTCTCAAAGAAAGCAGTATTTAGAAAGAATGGAAGTTATCTGGCTTAGTGGAATAAATAAAATGCTGGTTTGAGTATATAAATGTGTCCTGCCTAGGTTCTGAGTGAGCGTTCTAGACTCTTCAACAGCACAACTTTTAGTATCTGCAAAAAATAGTGGACCACTCAAAAGACCATGGGAAGGTTAGTGGTGCTACTGGTTAAGTGGACTAGGCCTTGCAGCATATTAACCCCTTAAGGACACATGACATGGGTGACATGTCATGATTCCCTTTTATTCCAGAAGTTTGGTCCTTAAGGCGTTAAACCAATGTGGTAGCAGACCTACACTTTAACCATGGTCGATACTGGTGGCCTTTAATCTAGGCCATGTTGTTTTACATTATCTCCATTGTAACATAGTTTAGGAATGCATACATCCTCTGCCATCAGTGGCTCCTAGACAACCACTGAGCTGTAGTTTTAAATGTTAATGAGATATTGTACGCGCTCATTAAAGGAGATCCTTAATACTAACGAGGTGGGTGATCCCCTAACTTTAGGTCACAAATGATGATAGGACTCATTTGATGAACAGTGAATATTGGTGAAATGAAAACTGGATATTTCTACATTTAGGGCAAAATAAGCAATATGGCAATATAGACGATATAGCTTTTTAGCCAGCTATCTCTGCATTTATTTTGAAAATGTGGTTTTCTAATCACTGCAGTTCCCCGCTTAGTATTAAGAAAACAAAACAAACAAAATTAAAACTTTCTAATTCAATCCAACTGACACTACATTCCAATTTTAATGAATTAAAAGGGTTAACGTGAATTATACATCCTTTTATCCCTTTGGGGATTTTCCATTTACTACTTGTCGAAACCCAGGGTATATCTGCATTTTTCCAAGAAAATCTACAACTTCCACTATCCATCATGAGTTGGAAAATTATAGCTCACCCACCTTGTGTAATTAAAGTGGGCTATCCACTACATGACACCTGTGGCTTTTACATAAAGTAACCACTCAGTCATCAGCCCAAAATATTCTTGAAAAAATATTAATATTAAAATAAAAAATATTGTGTCAGCTATATTGAATGTAAAAGCTATTATATGCATTGATCAGAAAATTTAATCCATAATGTATATGCAAAGTCACTAGTCCTTACTCCTAGGTTGGCTTGAACTCTGTCAATTAATGAAAACAATTATCCACTAAGGGACAGGTCTTGAAATCTATATATACTACAAACTTTGGAACGCAGAGAAAAATCACATCACCAAGTGTGGATAAGAAACCCTAGAAGTAATCTATCCTGTATATTTTGACAAGTGTTAAATATTTCAAGAGAGTTCCATTCTTAGTGCTTATTGGAAGAAATTTCAGATAAAATTGACCATTTACTAAAACTAGGAATTGGGGAAGTAATGAAAATTAATTGCAAATTTTAGACAAAAGCAACAACGCTAGATAAATAACCCAAACTGATATTCTTTGTTTTCCAGCTCAGATGTTTAGACCTACTTTTTTAACTTCCTTGTTAACTGGGGGATTCTCAGATTGCAACTGCTGACCCTGTTTAAGAGATTTCCTTGAATAATGCTTTTAGTCCATGACTGCAAAACATTTGCTGTAGACAAGGAGTGCCCAAAAGGTAGATCCGCAGATGTTGTAGAACTAAAACTCCCATGATGCTTTGCATGCCTCGAATGCCTTTAGAATGGCAAAGCATCATGGAAGCTGTAGTTTTAAAACATTTCAATCTACCTTTTGGGCACCCCTCTTGTAGACAAATATGGCATGTATAATTATGATATACAGAATATGTTTGAAATGAGTGTAACAAACCCAAAACTCTGAGGAACCTAGAGCAGAGACAATAACCTTGGTACTATTGCACCTCAGATATTCATTAACTATTTCCCATGATGCTTAAGGAGTTCTCTAGGGTTCTCGACGTAACAGACTTTGCTTATTTCACATTTGTGACAATCTGCATTGCTTTGCACAGAAATTGTCATTTATTCTCCACAGCTCTGGGCTGGATGACTATAATTACAAATGTAGGTTAACAGCTTTAACAAACTATTTGATTTTGTCTTTGTTTCAACCCATAAATCACATTTTGATTGATTCAAGATGGGTTATAAATTGCAAAATACTATAATTAAGCCAATGTCGGATAAACAGGTCGCCTAAGCAATTCTTACAGGATTTTTATCTTAAGTGTGAATGGTCAGGGTTTCACCTTACAAATGTTGGGCCAAAAGAAGTGAAACTAGAAAAATAGCTGACTTATTCCAATTCAGCACAGAACTGCTTATCTATGCTGTGCTGGGGTATTATATCAGACAGTGGTATCCTCCATCTCTATTAGAGCAGAGCAGACAGAGGAACAGAGAAAAAAAATCTGTGCAAATGAAAAAAAGTTCTCCAGCATCTTGACGTTATCTTTATATCTGAACCTCTTTATGGTATGGTAGTACCAGTGTGAGGCCTTGTAGTGCATATATAAGCTGTGCATTGTACACACGCCTACATACATACACACATATTTACATTTGCCATTTCAAAACTATTAGTCCACAAATATGAAATTAATGTATTTGCACTGTAATATTTATTAAAAGAAAATAAAAATAAGTATTTATGACCCACTTGTGAAAATAACATTTTATGCTATTTAATATTTATATTGTCGCAAGCTAAACTATGATGTGATTGTTATTTATTAATGTATTTAATTTGTAGTGGTTATGTTCAGATTATTCTTGAATGAGACACTTAATGACATACTGTATCAATTCCTCATCAGGTAGATTCCCTGTTAAATTTGCTATACTCTGTATGCCTTTGCTTAACAATGTGGTACTAACTATTAATATCGTAGTAACTACTATTCCTGATCCGCATGGGTATAATGGACTCCCCATACTGAATGATGCAGAAAATATGGTATATAATAGTAACTACCTATTCTTGGAACTTACCCAGGGTCAGCAGTTGTAAATAAGTGAATGATAGTGGATTAGAAATTCCAATTATCTTTTTCTGGTACCCATAACACTGTTAAATATAAGCATTACTGCCCATACTCTTTAACAGCTGTAGTTCCTCACTGCAGCCTATTTTTACAGTTCTATATTGACAGTTTTTGTATTCTAAAATCCTGCAATAAAATGTGGCTCACCAGTTTTGTTCTTACGGTGTTTTTTTTTTGTTTTTTGTTTTAAAGCAAGCTGGGGAGTGGGTTAGTGAACAACTTCATTGGTTTCCTGGCTCATGAAAATGGGAATTTAAGGTTCCAAAAATAAAATGCCTATCTGCTTCTTGCACTGGCATAACTAGAAACCACTGGGCACCGGTGTGAAAATTGCCCTGGGGCACCACATGTCTCATTACCCCTACTATGTGTCTCATCCCCCTCCCAACCCTTCCATGTGTCTCATTTCCCCCCCTCAGCTCCTCCATGTGTCATTACCCCTCCCTCCCCAAACCCTTCTATGTGTCTAATTTCCCTGTCTGCTGACCTCCAGGTAACATGGCCAAGCAGACCGCAGTGGATGATCTTCGCTTCATGTCAAACCAGGTAGAGGATACAGTAGATCCTGTGCACCGGCCTTGAAGTTATGCAAAACTTGTGTGTTAAAAAATTAAAGACTTGGTTAAAGAAAAAAAAAAAAAAAAAAAAATCACAACCACCCCAAAAATACTACACATTGAGGCCAAAATGTATCAATTGCATTAATTTTCTATAGGTTCCCAGAGTGTTTCAAAAGTTTTCAAAGCTACAACTAAAAATCTACAAAGGAATAGAATACAGTAATCTGTTAAGAATTATAACCAGATTTCAAAATTGAAATAAACTTGCAGTGCTTACCCAGTGCATATGAGGTTGTGTATTGAATTGGGTGGAGGGGGAATAAATAAATCCCATGTATTATAAAGTGTTGCAAAGATACAAACATACATTAACCCCTTAAGGACACAACTTCGGGGGGAGAAAGGGAATCATGGCGGAATATTTCTTAAGGGGTTATCCACTAAAATGATCATTCTAAATTAATTTAAAGGTGAATTTCAAATTGAAGGTAAAAATTGTTGAAAAGAAAAAAAAAAATTCTTTAAGCCTATGTTTTCAGTTCAGTTACTTACCCTATAATAGGAACATACATAGGTAAAACATCTTGGAGCTTAGTATCCTCCCTATAGAAGTACTACTTGTGTATGACCCTATCATGGGTGTTAATCTGTTATATGGCAATTCTCCAGTCCTTTCACTTTCTTATTTTGTATAGCGGTTTTTGTAGTCCAGATTCATGTAGATTAATGAATCTGGACCTAATAATTTAGTCTAATCTTACTTTCTCGGATATTCTCCATACTGTGTTATTGAGGTTATCTACTCAATTGTGAACAATACATTTCTACACAACCTAGACATCAATGTCTGTATTTAACACACTCAATTATGAGTGGATATCGGAATATACATATTATTAAAGCCGCTAAGTCAACATTGTAAATCGCAACTTACAAATCTGCTCCATAAGCGAGAAACTTATCTAGACATTTGAATCACCTGGCTATTTTCTTTTACCAGAACTTTGTCACTTTACCAGCCAATTTCTTAGAACACTATATATAGTCAGTTTAACTAGTCATTTTCACGTCTAGAGGAGAGATCACTTGGAGGATATTCCCCCCTTTCATTTTACCGATTAAATACAGAGCATTTTATACTAAATGACACCAGGAATAATGCAAGAATGTAAACCATAAAAAAATGTTTATTTCACACATTTACTTAAAGAGTAAACAATATTTTACATCTGAGAACCAAGTTCGGCAATGTAGTCCAGGGCAAACTTTGATTTGCATTTGAATGGCCAAAACAAATATGAGTCACAAGTATAGTGTGTTTGAATCCGTTTCGGCCAAAGAATGAAGTCATAATTCTAGGATATGAACCACCACTTGATAAAGATTTTAAACCATGCCACATTCAGGATTGTTATTGCCAACCCCTTTATTACATCCATACAACAAGAAAGGGCATTATAGTAAAATGATTTATTTTAACAGGTTCTCTGCTTCAGAAGAGAATGGAGAAGCCAGTTCTGCCTGTATGGTGATACTCCTAAAATGTATGGTATCCAAAAAGGAGATGGAAGCATATGCACTTTTTAAAATGTAAGTTTAACCCATTAAAAAGGTGCACTTTACATAAGGATCAGAAAAAATAAGGTGACAAATTGGGTAATTAATATTGAATATAAACAAACATCTAAAAAGGGTCATGAAGGTCAACATCTTCTTATGACTTTACCAAGCCATGCAGTAGAGAGCCAAGTTTGGCTAATGGACTTAGAACCAAAAAAGGCAAGGAATTCAAGACGTCATGCACAAGGAGTGTGGAACAATGGATCACTGAACTCTGGTCATTGGAGACTTGTATGTTGGCTATAGTTGTACACAGCTTTGTCAAGCATGAAGTGTTATACAACTGTAATCATAAATCAAGGGCTTTAAATGTAGCACTAATCAATAAGCATTAACGCTGTCAGACAAACAGAATTAGTTTGACTAGCCATACTAACATGTTTGTTCAAACAGAGCAAAGTGGGGTACATTGTTAAACTTGCAAGGTGTGCTGTACATGCAGTAATTGCCATACTGCAGTGGGGGGGAGGAAGGGGAGAGATTATTTTAGGTTTAAAACCTTGTTAATACCAAAATTAATAATTGAAGCAATCCCTCGATATCCGCACACCTGAAGATGAAGTGATGAAAAGAGGCCATTTTAAAGATTTTTGAACTTTAAGCTGCCATGAAGATTATAGTTGACACAAGGTAAGGGAAAAATATAAAAAATTAAATTAAATTTGTTTTTCTAATTAAGGCTCCCACGGAGGACTTTTTCTACCATCAACTTCTGTCTCCACGTGGTAAAGGACATCACCTAATGTATGTTCCACAACAGCATTCCAGGCCATGTCACTAACCTGTGAAAGAAATCAGAAGGCATCCTTTAGAACCACAGGTTTGCAGAGTTTTCATGTCTGTGATGCATTCTATTAGGCAAGAGGGTTCTTACAGCAAGGGATCTGTGCTCACAAATCAAGACTGCAGCTTATATGCACTTTAATTCTTATTTCCACCCTTCTTTTTTCTCCAACTGATGTGGCAATGTCCTTTTCTAATAGTATTTTAATCAAGGGCAGAGCACACCAAGGGCAGAGGAGATTTCTCAAGTGCCATGGCAATGAGCCAAGTTACAATGGAAATAGACAGCAATGTGTTTCCACACTTACTCTTCAGTCTCAGTTGTCTCTGGCTAGTCCCAGAGATATATGTATTTACACAGTGCATAAACATAACAAGCCCTGCTCGTTCAATTTTAGGAAAGTGTGTTAAATTACGTGGACACAATACTATGCATGATGCCATTATTGCATTATACACTTTAACACACTATGTATTCCAATATCACATCATAGAGAACAAAGTTCTTTCTGGAAGAGTACTCACAGGACGGAAGGATTTGTCTTTAGGAGGGTGTTTGAAATATGGTCCAAAATTTATAGACACCTGTGCACAAATAATACAAATAAAAAGTTATAGCCAGTTTCACTTGTACGCCAGACATATAATAGACCGATTCCTTTATGCAGCACTGAATGAAGAGACACAAGGACAAGAGATACATATTTAAGAGCGTATGTACTACATTTATAAACTTACTGTGCAGCATTTGTATAGGGAAATGGCAGGGTAGTACACTCCTTCAAAAACATCTTTAAAGGCCACACCTTGATTAACTCCATTCTTATAAAATACAATCTGGAGTAAAAAAAAAACATAAATCCACATAAACAATTGCTCATTATTATGAACATGCACACATTTGGACAATGGAGGCTCCAATCTTGATTTTAAAAGTGCCCCAGTATATATCTATCCCCAGCATAAGACCTTAAAACCATATCCTCCACTAACGGAGATTTATACACACACTGACCTAATGTAGTCAAAGACTCACAATATCAACAGTTTATTTTTGACTTGCAAGTTGTCTGCCTAACTGAATTTATGACATGTAAAATGAGCAAAATGTGCTTGTTACCCCCTTAAGGACACAACTTCTGGAATAAAAGGGAATCATGACGGAATATTTCCGTCATGTGTCCTTAAGGGGTTAAGCTGAGGCAGGAATGCAAACGCTAAAGCAGCAATACAATGAAATCTTATCTCTATAAATGTGTCTCCAAATTCTGTCTACTTAAATCTAGGATTAAACAGAAGATAATAGGAATGTAGTATTTAGTTCTTTACAATGATTTAGACTTATCACCATAAACAAAATAAAAACAAAGGATATATAGCGCACAGGCTCCTGGCTTTAATGTGAATGCCAGGGTAAACAATACGGTTTCAAGCCTAAATATACAAAGAAATTATCTGTTATAGACTTCATCCATCTGAAAAGCATTCCAACATTTCAAGATTGTGTGATTTGAGCTGTAAAAATGTTAAAAGGGGGGGTTCATCATTCATTACAGCAGGACCTACCTCAGTGCCTGGAGTCTGCTTTAAGTTCTTCTCTGCTTTGTCAACAAAATCCTTCTCTTCAAAATACAGGTAGCTCTTGAATTTGATCAATGCCTTTCAAAGAGAAAACGTGTAAAGGCTTAAAAGATGAGATACATGCATACACACATTGCACACATCCATCACACATCACAAACCAAGAAACTTACGGTGGGGGGAAAAAAGTGATTGAAAACCCCTTCCACCTGAAGTCAGTTGAAAGTCAATACATTGTTAAACACCGATCTGCACACCAGTCAAGCTATAAGACCTGCTTTTTCCACAGAAATCTTAAATTTGTTGTGTTGTTACTACTGCAAGGGATTCTGGGTGGGTATATGCAAATGAGTTCAACAAAGAATCACCTTTTTGACTCATTCCATTTTAAACATGAATTCCTTAGAGTATATTTGCGGTTTACAACAGCTTTGAAACAACTCAGGAAGAGATGCAAAGCCAGTGAACCACTTATTAATGGATGTAAGTACATACATACACACTTCAATCAGCATGCAGTGAAGAATAATGTTCTACAAGAGTCAATGTAACCTTTTTAAAAAGGGTTATTCCAAGCACCATGACCACTTCAGGGATTTGAAGTGATCATGGTGCTTTGAGTCTGTATGTGCAGTGTTTCACTAGGAAAGGCTGCACATACAGAGATAGATCCTCTGTTGCCATAACTGTGACTCCACCTCCAGCAGCATCGTTTGCAAGCCCAGAACAAGAGTTCTGGATGGCTATTGTTAATTCTGTTTATATTGGAGGTCTGTCTTCAAACCGCACAGCACATTGGTAACCAAAAGTGGAACAGCACCTGTGGCGGAACCAACCTCGCCACTATGCACTGGAGAAGCCTAGTTGCCAATCTGCTGCCTTTAGACTATGGCCCCATATTGAAATGCTTGATTTTCCCCTGCGAAGACACGAAAGTCGGGTCATTCGGTGCTTGCCCTGTTTGAGCGGTGATACCCCAGATAGCTATGCCATGGAGCCCATTCGTATAATGAAAGACTATGGGAAAGACTTTGGCTCCATGGCAATTGAACTGTGTGTTCTCGCAGCGCCATTCAGTAATAATGTGGGGGATATGTTGAATGTACCCGTTTTGTGCAATGGCTGCACAGTTATATATTTTTATGTGTTTTGTCTTTTGCTGCCATGTGTTCAATGGAGTTTTGCCTCAGTCCTTGGAGATAATTGGATTAATTCCCAATTATATCCAGGATAGAAGACTCTGTGGAACTGGTTTTGGGCAGAAAAGCCATGCTTCATTTGGTCACAAAGGACTACGATCTATATTTTGAACTAATGGACCAATTTGGATGATTTTGACATTTGTTTGTATTTGGAGTATGCTGATTCTGATTCTGTGAATGTGATGCATACTTTTCAAGTTATGAATAATGTGGAAAAACTGTATTTCTCTGGCTGTGATAATTACATTACCCATTGTGTAAGGTAATTGTATCACAGGCAGAGGGGAGGATTTTGTGTGGGAGTGTCTGAGTTTATTGTACATGTTTATTGGTTGTTTTCCAAAACCCTGTGGGTGGTACTAATGTGTAAGAATGTGTACATAAGAACAATAAACCCACAGCTCTGGAGATTCTGCTTAACCCTCAAACGAAGTGTCGTCTCGTTATTGGGGGAATTGGATTGTATGCTGACTGCCAGGAGTGTAAACCTTTCGTATGGTTTTTCCGGTTCAGCTGTTTGCAGTATTCGTGAGTTTCCTGTTCGTGAGTTGGAGAATTTGTGTAGTTTGCAGTTCGGGAGATTGGTGATTGCAGTAGCTGTCTGTGCATTTGAAAGGGGAATATCGCCTAAACGTTTTTTAACCTCTTGTGAGCAAAACGGTCCGTTACAGCACCCCTCCGTGCCACTCAAGTCCTCTTTTTCACTCCAGGGGGAGTGACCTCAGAGGAGCATTGGTCACTGTATTTTTTTAGTTGGAGTAACAGTTTAATAAACATTTTCTGTTAACAGTCTTCCATTTTCACTTGCCTGGGTAATATTTTTTTTTTGCCCACTATTTCACAGAGACACAGTATTAGAATACCTTATCTTTATAAGTGTCAGGCAAAGACTGTGCAGTCTCCGTTTCGTCTGGGAGGTGAATATAAAAGCCCAACGTGTCACCCTGTCCATAGGAATCTGAATAATGCTTTCCTATCGACTGGTGGAATTTTGTTCCCTTCTTGCTGCGCCAGGAATAACTAAACTTGTCGTAGCCAAGTGGAGCCTGCAGATTTCCTGGATGGAACAAAAAAGAGAAACTAATGAGGTTATATAGTTCAACAGAGTCGGATTTAGAGGTGCAATTCTTTTTGCAAAAGTCAGTTTATATATAAAAATTTTTAAATATATATACTGCCCTATTACATTCATCAAAGCTCAATTCTTATATGTATTATTTAGGACACTATTAGTTGCTTAGAAACACTAGAGGTTCTTACCCAAGGCCTGAGACCATCCAAGTCTTGCAGCGGTGTCTGGGGGCATTTCATCAATGAATATCTCAAAGTACCAGGAACCCTTTCTCACTCCATGTGATGCTCGCACCATTGAATACCCTTTCTCACCCAAGACAGTTAGTCGGTCATCAGATATCTTCAACTGAGGAGCTGGATGAAAGTGATACATTGAATTAATAGACATATAGTTACCCTGTCCTGTGACAAAAGAAATATTATTAACAGGCATGTTGCAAAGCTGCATATAAAACGGAGTATGGAATAGACTAGATAAAGACAATATACAGCATACACATACAATAGCAGTTAAGGGGACAGGAGGACATTGGGTAGATTATTAGGAACACTCCTACTTACCTCTGTCATGCAAAGCAAGGAGCACTCTTTCATACAGACATGCTCTATACAGGTCCCCTGGAATAGGCTTTCCTGCCCAGCAGTCTAACTCCAGTTTCTCTGGATCAGGTGCATGAGGATCAGGCTCAGCCAGTATATATCTGTAACCATCCTTATTGAAAGGGTGCTCCAGTGGGTAGCCATGAGGAGGAAGGCGCTGTGCTGAGAACAGTGGGTCACTGGAGGAATTTAAAGAAATAAATGACAATGCACTGAAAAGCATTCACTGCAGAATTGCACACTAGGGCATGAAATGTTAGAGCTGTGGTAAAGTGGCCTATCATTACTTTGATAAGATAAACCCTATATTCTGCTATTAACCACTATGGGTAGGTTTCCTACTATGTCAGACAAGGCAGGTATGATTAAAGATTTTATTGCATGGTCTGCCCATCAGAACCTCACCACATAAAATAAAAACCTTTTTGCAAACCAAAAATATGTCCCATGTATATAGGATCATTAATATCAATGCAGCAGATGCCTTAAAGGAACACTATTGTGTCAAGAATACAAACATGTATTTCTGACACTATAGTGCTGGTGTGGCTGTTAATCTCCCACAGATTCAATACATAAAAGTAACTACACCGTATGTGGAGGTTCCTCTGTTGCCACAGCCTCTCCAACAGCCGTCATTGCGCATTCCAGACATATTGGATAAACATGTTGGTACTATATACACCATCTCAACACAAATTTATGTATTAATGGGAGGTACAACATACTAAGCCTCACAATAATAATGGTCCTCAATATCCCCTGTTTTAGTTCAATGGTCCAAAATTCTTTATACAAACCAGGTTCAGGGAATTTTAATGGTCAAAACTGTATGATAAACCAAGATTCCCTTTTCTAGCTTGAGCATGTTTGGAAGCTAATGAGTTAAGAGCAACATGAACCCGACGCACGTCCCACGTAGCAGCTATGCTTTCTTTGAGATCACAGAGTGTATCAGTAGCATACTATTCAGATAGGAGGGCATGACACAAAGGCAGGGATAAGTCATGACAAAACTCCATCCCTGTTCAACTATGGGGTCATCAAGTTTTACTTTGGGCTCTGGCCCCAGGTGTTTCTGGAACCAAGCAATGCCCCCTGACCGGAGACGCAAAACATTTAATAAAGTAGGTATGTTTGCCAAGCCTTTTAGCATCAATACAAATGTATTTCAGTCAAAGTAGTTAATATTAATATAGAGAACTCTGCACTATAACCTTACCTCCGTGTTCTTTTGGCAGTGTTGGCTGAACTGCCATCTTGCTGCTTGCGTTTTGCTCCTCTACCTTTGGCTGAACTGCTGGCTCCTGCTGAACCTGCGAGACAAATAGTTAGAATATTAAAATAAAATAATAAAGAGCTATAGAATGTTGATGGAAGGGGCAATGCACTTTAGGGTACATGGGGAAGGAAATGGAATATAAATCTTTACAAACATACACAATTGAGGATATTCAAGAGTCACGTGTAAATTGGGGCATGAATATAGCACAAAAGGTATTTGTTGAGTTTTCGATTTTGCCAGATTTATATCAGAGGTCTTTGCATGTCAGGAAAGGCAATTTTCGTAAACGTAATTTCCTATTATTCCACATACATGGTTATAGTTCCGGTGATATGATTAACTTTACCAATAACCCAAATACCCACTACATTTAAAAGAAATCTAGAACACAATAACAACGGTTATCTGCATGATAAACAAACACTTTTAAAATGCTGGGGAAGACAACCGAATGTTCCCCTGTATGAAGTTATATGTGGGTAAACAATAACAACTCCCCACTTTAACCCATTTACTGGAAAGTGAAACAGGGGCACAGTGTAAATACCTGGAAGCTTTTATTAAAAGTCTCCACATCCACTCACCGCTTGTTTAGCAAAGGATAATGGAAGAAGCTGTTAAGTCAAGTCAACACACCATTAATTAACATACACACTGCTGCACATGTTAATGGGAATAATGGAAAGGCCACCATGGAGACTAGCAATAATTTTTCCTCTCTCCACCAACTACTGCATATAGTGAGAGTGCCAAAACTATAGATTTTTTTCTGATTAAAAATAAATAAATAAAAATGTAACATGCCATATTAAGTGAATCAACACAGCATGTAAAAAATAGTTTATCCCTCTGAAGTACAGTACGAGTGGTACATGCAGAGTGTGTAACGCTACATGCCAAAACACACCCAAGACATGAGACAGAAGGTGCCCATCACATGCTAGGTGAAAGGGGGGAGGAAGCCACGCCCACACACATTCCTCCACTGCTTAATTCACCTCAGTAAACAATGCAAAGGTGTTTACTGAGTGTGAGCGAATAAGGAACTGACAGTTCCTATGATTCTGTTTCATGCAAAGAAAGGCAGACATTTGGATTTAGTCAACGACTGACCCTGTTTTATCCATGTGTACACTGTGAGGCACTTTAAGTAACATAATAAACAATTCATTACCATTTAAACTCCCACCAGTGGATACTGCGCTACTTTGTCTCTGACTATCATAGACTGGACCGATGTTTCCAAGATCCTGAAAATAAAAACAACACTCTATTTTAATCCACATACGTACCACTAGGTGCCCCAATGAGAAAACATTAATGCAATTCATGCAACACAACCTAGAGGACCACTGATTTGTGAAATAGTGACCTTTAAACATTTGAAAAAAATTTTTTTTTTTACATAAAATTAACTATACTGTAATACAAATGCAGACAAGATAAAGCTTGTGTTTCTGAAAAAGGATGGTTATGTAGAACAAGAGTACCATATTGCAATTAATTCTGTCTATACATTACACTAGCTAATACAGCATTACTAGCCTTGTGGGGACACACATGCACCTCAAGCAGTATCCTATGAAGTCTAAACATTAATAGGGAGAATGCCAGGAATATGCAGTTTTTGGGTTGTAGTAATAATTACAAACACAATTATTCACTAAAGTGAGAATTGCCAGGAATTAAAAGACAAAAACAGATATAGTCTCCAAGTCAGCTACGCTTTCAATTAGGCTGTTTTGGCCTTCCATTAGAAATTCACTTTACTGAATAACCTGGAAAAGTCAGAATTCAAGTCAAGTCAGATAAAAAAAAAAAAAAGTCACATTTAAGGCCAAAATAGCAGAATTTGAAGATACTAAGTCAGCTATGCTGTCACTTCAGCTAATTTAGACCAATATGAAGTTTATATGATTTCCCGACAATTGTCACTTTAGTTAACATTCCTCCTTGTCCCATAATGAAGAGCATTTAACCTTCCTCTCCTTACACGGCTAGTCGACTACACAGTTAAATTTTTTTACCTGGTCAAGAAGGCCAAACTTTGGATAGTCTTCTTCTGGATCTTTGCTTCCTGGATCAGGATGCTCTTTTACGAGAAACACATCTCGCTCTTTAGTCTAAAAATTTTAAATCATACATTAATAAGAGTCACATCTTAACACTGTACAGAGCTCTTCTGACTCTTTGGTAAGTTTATGCATTGCACAATTTTACTCAAAACATAAGAACTACAGCCCAACCAAACCTACCCTGGTCAGGTTCTCTTGAAAGAAGGGCAAATTTTATCAACGTTTGCCCTCTTACCCAGGGAACTTCCGGGCTCACATGCCCCTTTTTCCTCTGGGGACGTACTTCTGCAAAATTGCAGAAGCTGGTCTAGTCGCCATTAATTGGCTGACAGAAGTCAACTAAAGCACACTGTGAATGGTAATCTGCACAGAACTGACATTAGGCCCTCTAGAACTCTTGCTCTGGGCTGACTAATAATGCAAATGAGGCGTTTCATGAAGAAATGCTGCACACGCAGAGCCCAGACACCATGACCACTTCAAATCACATGGCCATGGTTCTTGGAGTAACCCTTTAATTCTAGATAAAAATAAAAAGGTAAATGAGGCAAATATGCTTTACAATTTCATTATCACATAAATCACAAAGAAAGGTCATACTCATTTACTGAATGCAAGGCTGTATAAAGTGCTGAATAAAGAAACATATGCAACTACAGTGGTTTACAAAACAAAATTAATAAAAAAATTTTTAAAAGAAGGAGGGTGAGGGGGAAGGGGAATACTTCCTAAGGGATGGCCAATCCCTAAAGACATCAAAAAAAAAATATATATATATATCTCTCTCTCTCTCTCTCCAGGTACACCTGATGCTTCTTCTAAAAGGCAGTCTTTTTGAAACAAGGAAGTGGAGACAACGTATTGGCTCCTCTCTGAGCCTTTAACAAGTCTGACTGAGCTGAAACTTGGTCTCCACTTCCTTGTTTCAAATAAAGACTGCCTTTTAGAAGAAAACTCAGGTGTGCCTGGATATCTCTTTTTCCCCCAATTAACATATGCAAGGACCATATTCCGAACCTCTTAACAGTCTGGTCCCTAAAGGGTTAAAGCATTATTTCTACCCAGAAACAGAAAAAAGCGCAGAGGGACATATAGCTTTAAGTAAAAAAAAAAAAAAAAATCCTTTATTCTGAATAAAAAACAAGCAAGTTAAAATTCCTTAAGAAAAAAAAACAAAAATACATATTTAATGTTTCTAAAAGCTTAAATAAAAAAAAAAAAGAGAAAAAACAAAGAGCTTGAATGTCTAGCTCACATTAAGCCAATACCTAAAGTCTTAAAGTGGGTAAAAATTCAGAGATGTAATTCAGCCCGTTTTTTGTAGTATATTCTATCTAAGGAAGGGCTGTCCAACCTGCAGCCCCCAGATGTTGCTGAACTGCAACTCCCATGATTCCCTGGCTATCTGTTTCATTGAAAGAATCATGGGAGTTGTAGTTCGGCAACATCTGGGGGGCCGCAGGTTGGACAGGCCTGATCTAAGGGATCCCTTTAGATGCTACAAAGGGAGCTGAAAGATTGAAAAAGTCTTAGGAATCCTCCTGTGTAGCGTGGCTGCTTACTGTACTTGTGCTGAAAATGGATCCTGTGTAGTGTGCTCATCTTCCTGCTTTAAACGTCTCTTCGGTTTGCGCGCGTAGATTGAAGCCGGAGGATCAGATCATCCTAGGACGTGGTGGTATCAGTGTTCGCTGTGTCCACTGAGAACATCATGTCCTAGGTCGATCGGAGTGCTCGGATCACGATCCACCGGCAAAAATGGATCACTTCTCAACTAGACGCTATCACTCCATGTATATTTGCAATGTTCATCACATGTGCCTTCTTGCTTATCTCAATTGTTTTGTACCATCAGTATAATATAAAGAATTCAAAACAAACAAAAAAAAAAAAATAATACACCTCGGCACCCATACTGATCTATCCCTACCATAGTTTTTACAATACTGTTTGGCCAACTCATTTTCCCAGGTCGCTGCCGTGTGGTGAGGCTCTCCCAGTATTTGTCAATAAACGGAATTATATCCTGAAAAAAAAAAAAAAAAAAAAAAGAATACACACTAAGTTTTTATTATACTGAAAATTCTTATTTTTTTCATCCAACTTAGATCAAAGCATTATCTTCTACATTGTCAAAAATTGTGATAGTACCTTATCTTTGGAAAACATGGTCTTTGGGTGCTCATCTTTGTTACGAGATTGCCAAGTTAGGTTGGCTAGAGCAGTCAGACACATTTCCTTCAAGTCTGCAATAAGGATGCAACAAAATGTCAAAACAGGCCATGCACTTAAACAGTCTATAGTGGTGAGATCTAGTCTTTGGCTACACAAATCATAGTTACAGTTGTAGTTTATAATTCGAACAATAAGCAAAAACACGAAAAATAAAAAAGATAGTAACAAGTGTGATTAACTGATCAAATAAACAAGGTGACTGGATGTCTGAGGAAATTAAATGACATTCTCTGTTGATTTACTTTTCATTTTTTTTTTTTTCAGGATTTAATAGAAAAAAGGATGGGAGGCTGGGCCTGACAGCCATGCTGGAAGGAAGCTTAGCAACATAGCAATTGCAGCTTTATAGACCTTTTGGTTCATCAGTAACCTAAAAAGCGCTTGTAATTAATTGCCAGACGAGGACAATATGCAGTAGGCTCTGCTGGTGTTTCATTTGAGTCTTAATTGAGGATTAATCCCCGTGGAGCAGTTTTGGAGATTGCAGGCCTAGTACAGAGCACTAGTATGCAAAGGAGGTGGCATATCACATCCAACCACTTGGATATCTGCACGACAGCCCTAAATGCCCCCCCCCCACCCCCCACCCCTTTTTGTGCTAGAGGTGTTATTTCAGTCCACCCTAAGGATCCCTATACTCATTCTTTTGCAGATTTAATCATGGTCAAGATAGTATGCACATCCATATATTGTAAAGATGGGCACTTCTTTGCCGAGATAACCCATCCACCTCAGAGGTGTGGCATATCAAGATGCTGATTAGACAGCCTGATTATTGCACAGGTGTGCCTTAGGCTGGCCACAATAAAAGGCAACTATAAAATGTGAAGTTTTCCTGTATTGGGGGAGTCTGGGGGCGTCTGAAAACCAGTCAGTGTCTGGTGTGACCACCATTTGCCTCACGCAGTGCAACACATATCCTTCATATAGAGTTGATCAGGTTGTTGATTGTGGCCTGTGGAATGTTGGTCCACTCCTCTTCAATGGCTGTGTGAAGTTGCTGGATATTGGCAGGACCTGGTGCATAGGGCTCTCTAACACAGATTTGTGAACAATATTATAGAGAAATAGGCCTTTTGTTGTCCATCGAAAAAGTCTTAGATCTTTGAGTTCAGCTCATGAAAAATGGGGGCAAAGAAAAAAAAAAAAAAAAGTGTTGCATTTATAATTTTGTTCAGTGTATATACCTGTAAATTCTTAAGTCTCTCTCTGAGTATTATAATCATGTTATTTATATAGCGCCAACAAATTCCGTAGTGCTTTACAGTGGGTGGACGAACAGACATGTAGTTGTAACCAGACAAATTGGACACACAGGAACAGAGGGGTTGAGGGCCCTGCTCAATGAGCTTACATGCTAGAGGGAGTGGGGTAAAATATAAGTTTTATAAACTCTCCCAAATAGAGACTCCAGACAGATAAAGCACTTTAGCAAGTTAGAGTGTTACTGTGTCTAGTTTGTCTTCAATGACCCTTTACTGGGCTTTTACTTACTGGCTTGCTTTCTGAGGAAGTATGTGTTACCACTGTGATGACATAAATTGCAGTGAAAGCTGTAGTTTGTCATGAAAGGTAGACATGACCTGAAAGGAAAAAATTTAAAAAAATAAAACTACAATTTCAATATTGAATCCTAGTACTGTCCTACTAGAAAAAACCTCAATCAACGTTATGTCTGGGTTTAATCAGAACACATTTAACAAGTTCATATCAATACTACAATTCATTTAGCAGGCAGTATAAAAATAAATAAATACATTTGAAAGATTGCCCCCATAAGTTAAAGTAAATATATTGGAAGAGGGAAAAAAATAAAAAAATAAAAAAGTCAGAAGATTTTCACAGTATTGTGTAATTTTTTTTATTTATTTTTTAAATCTTTTTAAATTTTAATATGAAGACTTGGAGTGCAAATAATTGCCTTATGCCAAAAAATGGCTTTTTAGCAAACTAATTAAAGAGGGTAGGCAGAAAGCTGGCTGTTACATGTAATGAGTTAGAAACTGAACAATGGGTATTTGAAAACAGGAGATCATACATACGTAGTGTCTATTCCAAAATGATCTGCTCCAAACCACTTTGTGCAGAGGCTGCATTGCAGCTCAATATCCCCAAGCTGACGCGTGTTATCTTCATCAACTGAGCCAGTTTGTGTGTCCCCAGCCTCCCCATCACCTGTTCCTTCCTGCAAGAGACAAGACAAGTACATGAATTATACCAAAAACTAGAAATGCAGATCAGAGAGACTGTGCTTATCTCAAAAACATGGCCTGTGAGAGGAATCTGCTAGGGTGCTATGGCAGCTCATTGTGCATGCACAAAATACTCTATATAGGATCCCATGGGATATTCCACAGACTCTGGCAGATTATGTCACCAGGAGCTGAATACCAGACAAAATATTAAGATGGTGATACTAAGGGGATTAGGTAAGTATTTGCATTCCCCTTCTCGTATGGGCATTACCACATAAGCAGACAGTGCCCCGGTGCCCCCCCAATTTAAGAAGTCAAACCATTTAGTAATGGTTTGACATAATTGAAGTCTACCAGGACTTGTTCTCCCTGTCTCTTCCCTTACAAGTCCTGAATGGACAAAAACCATGGCTAGTAACTTCAGTTAGCCCCTTTGAGTTAAGCTCTGCAGTGCAGAGAGCTTCCGGCTCTCATTGAGGCAAGAATCGGCGCCCAGTGGACTCTAGATAACAAGACAAACCATCAAGGCAAAGTCAAAATAAGTTCACAGTGTGTGGTTAGGTGGAAACAGTGAAAATAGTGCTTGAAGTATAGCTTCAACTCTGGGATGTCCAACTGGTCTAACCATGTCCACTAAGATAGCTTGAAAAAGGGTCATAGCTTGACAGCCTTTCTTTAAGAATATTAGTACTACGGATTAACAAGGAGAACTGGAAGCAGCATAGAAAAAAAAAAAAGAAATAGCGTATTTGAGGGTATATGGCTAAAGCACACTCAAGCATAATAAGTAGAATACAGACACAGAATATGTATAGAAAAACAATTACATACCAAGCCATCTTTTTCATTGGAGGACTCTGGATCCACACCAGATGCTGTATTCGCTGGGATGGAGTCACTGAAAGAAATGACAACCATTTAGCACAAAATGTCATTTCAGAAAACAGACTGCAGTTTTACCAATTCCAGCATAAACATCATATAAAGGCAATAGTCCTTATAGTATTAAATTTGAAAAATAAATAAATAATTATGAGTGGCGAAAGTGAATCATTTACAGCTAGAAACGTGTTAAAGGGTGCTATTTGTCACAGCAAAATAAGTTACCCAGGAAGGCTAAAACCGTTTATTTTCTAGATCTATAACGAAGTGGACAAAATTTACCATATATGGACGATTGTGAAATTGAAAATAATGAAATAGGATGGGTTAAAATATAGGCAAAAGCATTACAAATAAATGGGTTTGTTTTTCAGGAAGAAAAACAAAAATAAATGACTGTTTTTAGCTGTAGTAAGCCTGTTTGGCATGGTGCTGCCAAATAAAATATAAAATAATAAAAGGAAAAGAGAAAGATCCTACACCAAGGCCAAATTGTCTTGCAGTCTTATCATCCTACAGTGACATCTACCCCAATGCCTACTTAAGGAGATGGGGATTTCCCAGAGTGCAGACTGAGGGCCGGACTTGGAAGGATATATGCATGCTAGCGATAGACACACAATATGCACATAATTCACAGCCAGATTGGAATTCTTTATCCGGGCTGGCTAATGACGCTGCTGAAGGTTTAATTACACCTCCGGCAGCAAGGTGCTATATCTTTAAGTGCAGTATTTCAAACTAATGCACCACATCAAGAAGCATGCCCACTTGAAAACGCTTAAGTGGTCATGGTACTTTGAGTAAACCTTGGAGTCAGTCACAGGTTTCAATGTTTCATTCAATTGTGTAATTTCCAGAGAAGTGTCGGTTCTCCTTTAACTGTCTATAGCACTGCTGAGTTAATCCCAGCTTTAGGGGCACAGCAAGGGATTCTGGGAGTAGCAATGCAGATGTCTCTTTTCTTAAAAGCAGACAGAAAACCAAGCCATGACATAACATACAACAGCATATTTGTAACAAAATAGAAAGCACTAAAGTTAGAGGGGTAGAAAAGGTTGCAATTTAGTGCAAAACAAAAATTAAAAAGGAATACCCAGATTAACTATGGATTGGATCAAACATGTGGGTGCCTGGAATAGCCCTTTAAATAAAGAGAAAAGTAATCATTCTGGATTAGAAAGGCATTTGAGAACGTTTCTACTACACTGCTAGGAAAGTATAATCCAAACACCCATATAATTTAACAGAGCAAGCTGGTATGGTCAGATCAGAAGCACAGGGCAATCTGATTCAATGTTCCAAATTAAAAGGTCAGCTTTTAAAATCAAATCACTGCATCATACTACTGTATTAGAGCAGGTGACAGGTAGCAACATTTAGATGCTAAGTATACAGTATAAATCAATTTGGTCTCATTTCTTCACTCCTATATTTTGTATTTATTGGCTCTCAAGATACAAACTTAGTAATATTACTTTACAATATAGACCAAACCTTAGTTTATCGTGATATATGAATTTCAAATTTTAAGTTTAAGTTTTTTTTGTTTTTTTTTTAATAGCGATAGGAAGAGTCCAGCGCAGGTCAGTCAAGCTCCCCAAGTGAAATAATTAAGTTCCCATTGCAGATTTCCATATGCTGTATTCTAGTGCCCCAATTTTACAGGGACTTGACTTTTGCAGACATATATAATGGCACAATGCATGTGCTCACTAAGGGAATAAAACAGGTCAAGATATCACACTATGTGACTACCTTTTTTTACGTTTACCCTTCCTGCCTTTTGAGTGCAGTCGCACAAGCACGGATTTCAGCATCTTTTTCCAGCTGTTGTTCACAAGTCTTCTTTGGTAAACTGGTTGCTTTATGATACAGATGTGAACATTTAATAAACAAGGCTGATATAGAACTGGGTTCCAAAGATCCACTAAAAACAGTGGAGACACATACACAAATGCATATATTTTACGTGGATGCATTCATCAGTAGGGGTATCTACGATGTTTTATTAATTTCATGGGAAATATTGGCATAAACATACAAGAAGCAAACATTATTTTGGATGTGAGAACAGACTTAAATTCTAGGATGTAATAAACAGAGGGGGAGGAGTTTCCTATCTTAACCAGTAGGAGAAAAGTCAGGTTTCAATTAACCACAAATTGCCATTTAGAGAGCAGGAGTCTACAAAAAGGTGTACTAGACTGGTTTCACCTTTGCTTTTTAAATCATCAATATAAAAAAATAAAATAAATCTAAATTGTCATCAAGCAGAAAAATATACACCTCACTTTAACTAAACCTACGGTTTGGTTACACTAATAATAGAAAAACTCAGTCCATTCAAACAGGACTGTAAAAAAATAAAAAAGTCATTTGAATATCAGATACAAGTTATAACCATTCATTGACCTGTTTCACAATGCAGGATTCAGGTACTCCAACAATATTCAACGAAGTTATTTCTATGTCCCAAAAGAATATATGCAAACAAGTAACATTACATTAACACTGTATAACCCTATGAACTCACATCCTGAAAACCTGAGTGTTAAACTCATACAACTACCATATCCTGACACCCCAGCTGCCACAACATAGTGATATCATGTATCACCAGCTAAGCAAACAAACCCCACTCCCTGTGCCCATCCCAGCGCACCCCTAATGGATTAGCTTCAGTCTCCACCAATGGGGTGGGAGGGAGGGTGAGCAATAAAGCCCTTCATTCATGTAATAAATTAATTCATCCCCTCCCCCAATTAACTCCAGGAACACGCCCTCTGCTTACCTGCTCCGGTTATCTCCTCCCCCAGCCGGGCTGCCCACAGATCCTCCTCCCGCCTCCCCACACTCCTTCTCCGCCACCGACGCCATGTTTGTTACACAAACCACGTGCACTTTAATGGGGGGCGCGGCTAGATGGGGGCGGAGTCTCAGCGGCTGCGTCATTGAGGCGCGTCGAGAGGGCAGCTGCCATCTATGTTAAGGGCAAGCCAGCATCTAGTGATTTTGTTTGAGTGTGGTTATTCACCGAACTCTGAATTGAACACTGTTGAAAACGAAATTATAGGATTCAGACCAAAATAGCTCCTCTGGAAAATTTCTCTCACAGAGCTATTTTGGTTTTAGAGGCTGGGTGCCTGCTGTGTAAATAAGAGATGAATATTACTATCCCCCTCCCCCCCCTAAAAAAAACAACAACCTGAAATCACAATATAAGAAAAGTATCAGGATCTCATGAGACCTGAAAAAAAAACCCTGTGGGGTCGAAACGTTGCTTGTACTTTGCTTCAATAAACCTGCGTTTTTGGTTATACCTTGAGTGGCTGGACCATTGTGTGTTTTGACATACAATGGTCTGAATATCAACCACGGGACCTGCTTAATAAATATGAAAATAAAGCTAAAAATTCAAAGTGCGATATAAATTATAATGTAAGTAGCAAAGGCTGCCTATTATGATTTATCACAACGCAGATAATTATTTTGCAGCAAAAATAAAACATGCAAAAGATTTTTTTATTTTTCAAAAACTCCCAACTTTTAAACTGCAATAATTACCTTGAATGGTTAACTCCACCTCTAGTGACTTTATTCATTAAATATATAATTTCTGCTGTGTTCATAAACTTGTTGTCAACTTTAATGAATTCATAAACCGGACTTTACATAGGACACGAGGTCATGCGTTTAGACTGGAAGAAAGAAGATTTTGTTTAAGGCAAAGGAAAGGTTTTTTTTTTTACTGTAAGAACAATAAGGATGTGGAATTCTCTGCCTGAAGAAGTGGTTTTATCAGAGTCCATACAGATGTTCAAACAGCAACTAGATGGATACTTGCAAAAACAGAATATTCAAGAATATAATCTTTCAATGTAGGGTAATAACTGCTTGATCCAAGGATAAATCTGACCGCCATTCTGGGGTCAAGAAGGATTTTTTTCCCCTAGCTTGTTGCAAAATTGTGCTTCAACCTGGGTTTTTTTGCCTTCTTTTGGATCAACAGCGAAAAACAAGTGTGAGGAAGGCTGAACTTGATGGACGCAAGTCTCTTATCATCTATGTAACTATGAAAATCTGTAAATAGGATGTTTTTCTATATTTTTTTTACATTTGTTTATATTTTAAAGGAACACTATAGTCACCAGAACAACTACAGCTTATTGAATTTGTTCTGGTGTGTAGAATCATTACCTTCAGGCTTTTTGCTGTAAACACTGTCTTTTCAGAGAAAATGCAGTGTTTACATTACAGCCTAGTGATAACTTCACTGGCCACTCCTCAGGTGGCTGTTAGAGATCCATCCTGGGTCATGGCTGCCTAAAATGCATCCAAACATTCAGTGTCTCCTCCCTCTCCATGCAGGTACTGAACTTTCCTCATAGAGATTCATTGATTCAATTCATCTCTATGAGAAGATGCTGATTGGCCAGAGCTGTGTTTGAATCATGCTGGCTCTGCCCCTGATCTGCCTCCTTGTCAGTCTCAGCCAGGCCTGGACTGGCCAGCGGGCAAACTGGGCAAATAGAACTGGCCACAGGAGATCTGGCCTGTCCATGCAGAGCCGCTGCTGTGTTCCATGAAGGGCCGGTGGGGAGATCAAAGATCTCCCTGACCAGCCCACATGCAGTCAAACGCGGCCGGCGGGGGAGAGAGGGAGGGAAACAGCCAGCCAGTAGAGGAACCCGGAGGAGCTCTAACTTGCAGCTCTGCTGGGTTTTTCTCGCGAGATCTGGACCGGGTCTCACAAGAGTGAACTGTAGCCCCACAGGCTAGAGTTCACTTACCACGAGGACCACCAGGAATGGATGTCAGCAGCACAACACCCCCCTGCCCCCCTTCCAGGCTACAGGTAAGAAGGGAGAGGGGGGAGTATAATGTCTGTTTTGTAGTTTGTTTGTTTTTATTATAAAAAAAAGAAAATACAACAATATTGGCATTTACCTGCCTCCCCCAACACACAATCCTTTCAAACACACACATCACCTTCACACAGCACCCTAACACACACATCAACCTCACACAGCACCCTAACACACATCACCCTCACACAGCACCCTAACACACATCACCCTCACGCAGCACCCTAACACACACATTACCCTCACACAGCACCCTAACACACACACACACCACCCTCACACAGCACCCGAACACACACACACATCACCCTTACACAGCATTCTAACACACACACACATCACCCTCACACAGCACCCTAACACACACACATCACCCTCACACAGCACCCTAACACACACATCACCCTCACACAGCACTCTAACACACACACATCACCCTTACACAGTATTCTAACACACACACATCACCCTCACACAGCACCCTAACATACACAGCACCCTAACACACACACCACCCTCACACAGCCCCCTAACACATACACAGCACCCAAACACACACACATCACCCTTACACAGTATTCTAACACACACACATCACCCTCACACAGCCCCCTAACACATACACAGCACCCAAACACACACACACACATCACCCTAACACACACAGCACCCTAACACACACAACACCCTCACTCACACAGCACCCTAACACACACATCACCCTAACACACACATCACCCAGCACACACAGCACCCTACCCCACAGCACCCTAACACACACAGCACCCTCACACAGTACCCTAACACATAGCACCCTAACACACACACATCACCCTCACACAGCATCCTAACACACACAGCACCCACACACACACACAGCACCCTAACAAACACACATCACTCTCACACAGCATCCTACCACACACAGCACCCACACACTGCACACCTCACACACAGCACCCTCCCACACACATACTGCACCCCACACACACAGCACCCTCACACACTATACTCCTCACAAATGCACACTGCACCCCTCACACATACACACTACACCCTGAACACACACACTGCACACCTCACACATATACATAGCAGCCTCCAAACATGCTGCACTACTCACACACACACAATACTTCCAAGCATATATGTATATATACTACAGAACCCTTCACACACATACTGCACCCCTAAACACATTAAATTCCAGACAAACACTAGATTCCTTACCCAACTCTGGATCGTCTACAGATATACACACACTAGATCTCTATATACACTCTGAATCCCCTATACACACACACTCACTAGATCTCCTATACACACTCTGGGTCCTTCAAAAACACACTAGATCCCATACACACAGACACTGTACCACCTACACATACACAGCACCCAAACAAACACACACATCACCCTAACACACACATCGCACCCTAACACACACAGCACCCTAACACACACAACACCCTCACTCACACAGCACCCTCACTCACACATCACCCTAACACACACATCACCCAGCACACAGAGCACCCTAACACACAGCACCCTAACACACACAGCACCCTTGCACAGTACCCTAACACATAGCACCCTAACACACACACATCACCCTCACACAGCATCCTAACACACACATCACACACACACACAGCACCCTAACAAACACACATCACCCTCACACAGCATCCTACCACACACAGCACCCACACACTGCACACCTCACACACAGCACCCTTCCACACACATACTGCACCCCCCACACACAGCACCCTCACACACTATACTCCTCACAAATGCACACTACACCCCTCACACATACACACTACACCCTGAACACACACACTGCACACCTCACACATATACATAGCAGCCTCCAAACATGCTGCACCACTCACACACACACACAGTACTTCCAAACATATATGTATATATACTACAGAACCCTTCACACACATACTGCACCCCTAAACACATTAAATTCCAGACAAACACTAGATTCCTTACCCAACTCTGGATCATCTACAGATATACACACACTAGATCTCTATATATACTCTGAATCCCCTATACACACACACTCACTAGATCTCCTATACACACTCTGGGTCCTTCAAAAACACACTAGATCCCATACACACAGACACTGTACCACCTACACATACACTACATTTCTGACATACACACTCTGGATCCCCTATGCACACACTAGATTCCATGTAAGCAAACACAGTGTCTCCATAAATGGGATACAGTGAGTATCCCAATTATGGAAACCCCTGAGACAAGTTTCAAGCAAACACAACGTGGGCATGTTATTAAATTTGCTTGCGCTGTGCAGAACAAGGGCCCTTTTCTCATGCCCTGGAAGAGCATTGAACCAACATGCTCACTTTGAGATGGGGCGTGCTTGTCATTAGGGATGACAAAACATACCCTATCTGGCTCCACTCCCCTTTCAGTGGGCCGCTGTGAATAAAAAATGCCCAGGCCGAATTTTTTCCCCAGTCCAGCCCTGGTCTCAGCCAATCCTATGGGGAAGCATTGTGATTGGATCAGGCTACCACTTCTGATGATGTCAGCAGACTGTTTGTTTTTCTGAGTCTAACAGCATGCAGAGTTACAGCTTCAGGCTTGAATACAGTAAGATTTTTTACTATATTTATGGAGGCATGAGGGGCCCAGGTGGGCTAGATGGTGGTTTAACACTATAGGGTCTGGAATACATGTTTGTGTTCCTGACCCTATAGTAATCCTTTAAAGTTTAATTTTCTACAAATCAAAAATGCATCTGTAACTTATATTTCAATTAATGTCATGTTAAAACCTTGTTGCAAAATTTTCTGCAGCAATATATTTACTATATATTTAACCCCTTAAGGACTGAGCCAGTTGTACAAGTTGTGATCAAATCAAAACGTAAACAAAACCTGGAATTTGCGCTATATGTCTGCTCAGGCGTAATTCACCTCTTTCATATTATGTGTACCCACACATATCATATATCATTTTGTTCGGGAGAAACAGGGCTTTAATGTCACATCAAATATTGTATATTAAGCATAATTTAATATGAATAAAATA